CCCTGAGAACTAGAGTCAACTGTAATCTAGCAATACATAAGTGACAAGTACCTCATAGTGAATGAAATGCTTCTTATTCCACCCTCAGAACATTGTCTGCCATGTCTCAAATAGTCTTCTTTCCAGAATCAAGACTTATTTCCACTTCACAGGTGTTTACCATTTAATAAAAGGCGCAAAATATTAAATAACTCAGAAGACAACTGGTTCGATCTGATAGTGTTCAACCCAAAAATGTTTGTAATTTGTAATACATACCCAACCTTAAGCCCAAATTCGAAACTACTCACTAATCTTTCATTTACCAAAAATTCCTCCTTGCCTTAACTGCTACTCTTGAGTTGGCGTGAGAAAGTAGATCCTGTTTTCGGATTAATCAATACTGAGTGAATGCAGGGTGGTGAGAAGTTGGCTTTGGAGCAATATTTGGCAATTGAATTATCAAGAAGTCAGATCTCACTTTAAATATCAAATAATTGCTTTAGTAATTAGCTTTTATGAAATTAAATGAGAATAACATAAATTTTATTTTTATTTTTTAGTTAAGCGTTCATTAACATTTCATTTCGCTCTCTTTAGACACCATTAAAGATCTTCTATTTTTCCGTCGTTTCTATATGAGCATATACATCTTTAAAAACTAATCATTGCTGACAGCGGAGAAGCTCATTCGTGAACTTTCGTCATAATGAATAAGTTGATATGCGCTTGAAATTTAAGCTTCAATATTTCCTCTTAAGTGAGCTGGTTTTGAGTCACTGCGTACATATGTACCCTTGACCCTTCAGTTTTCGGTTTGCTTTTTACACCTTCACAACTATATGTCAAACAGCGTTACGAGTGGATGTAGGGACTGATTAATATTGTATTGTGGTCAGTGCGCTATTTGCGTCTGCCTAGAGTTGAAGCATTAGAATTTAGGGGGTTAAGGGTTAATCTGAAAACGCTCAAGATTTTTTCTGTCAGGCAAACGTTCACAAACATCAAACCATTAAGAAGGTCTAGGGCGGGGGGGGGGGAAGGAGAAGGAGGTTTTTAAAATTAGAGAAAAAAAGTGTATTGAAAAAATTGTGGCCTCAATGCCACCTTGTTTATATTGGACATCCACCACATAAGACGTTGCGGAGTCTATGGTTGTCGGTGCGCACCCACTGACCGGAATGATCAGCCGCAGTAATTGGGTTTGGCCAACATGGACAGTTGTCGGGTTCTAGTGTTTCACCAGGTTGATCTCTATAATGGCACACTCCAATCAAAGATGAGTGCTTGAAGCCGCTTTTCTGAATGGGATAAGAAATGCTTACCATATTTATTTTCATTAATATATTTGTTTTACTAATACTATTTTGGTATTTTTGGAAATCGATTTTGTTATATCATACCTGAGAACGCTTGCCTTACTCTCCGTAAAGCTTTTTATACCTTTACCAACCTAGACGAACTAACCAAATGTTCATACGAAAAGTGAAATATCGATTTACCTTTACATTGGTCAGGATTCTACTATTAAATTTGAATTTAAATTTTACTATGTAGCTTTATTATGCCGTACCTTTTTATACATAAATATGGTTTAAATTCAACATGTTTTATTTCATTCTAATTCCCTGATTTTTACTAGAAGTCAGCTTCACGTTTGCTGCAAACTTCATTTGAAGAAAAGCAGGCGTGAGGTCAGATCAGCAGACGTCGTATATTTAAAAAAACTTACTTAAGCTAATTGGATTAACTGACAAGGTGGTAACATAAAATGATTATCCTATTAACTGAAATAATATTTAAATACCAATTTGAAAGTCAATAAAGCAAAAGACTTATTTGACCTTCTAAAACAAACGTTCCACTTAACTCTCGCTTTTATCACCAGTCTTTTCATCTGGAGGAGCCTTACTTCGTGCCACTTAAAGAACTAAGCGTTGGCTGTGTTTATAGCAATATTTATTTATATCAAATGGCAGGCGTTTTGATAGTTATCATTAGCCCTTTAGTTAACTTCAGGCTTAACAAATGGGAAGGAACATCAAAGTGAAAAAGATCGAGATGTGGGGGGGGGGCAGAAGAGTGTTTCAAAGTTGGAAAAAAGGTGAGGCGAGTACGGTTGAAGTAGTCGAATTTGACATACAGTGGGGTGATCGTAGTTTGGAGTCTGAAGCCAACTGCCGGTTAATAGACTTTTTTTGCCGTATGAGTATACGTTGCTCAGGCTACACCACGTGGAGGTAAGTCTATCGCACACCCCGTGTTTATAGCAATATAACCTATTAGAAGAAATACTTCCCGAAGCTTCTCTTATCGCATCATGCGCATAAACCAAATACGTTAAATATTTCAATTATTGGAGACTCATTAAGACTATACGATTTCACAACTTCAGCCAATTCACAAGGATTAAAAGTTAGTCATCTTCGTAACGAACTCATCCCCTAATCGGTAGTGTCATTACAGAGTTTAATAAAATCTTTATAAGCCTACTTTAATGTCATTTCAAATAATATACGTTGTAAAGCAACTTGGCATTATTAATTTCAAGTGACTAAATCCTTTACTGTTTGCCACTGCTATTCAGAATTACCTGATTTCCCCACTTCAATATTAAAGACTCGCCTCACTTTAGACATTGCCTGACCAGAAATTTATTTCTTTATTAACATAACACAATACATCCTTCTCAATTATATTGATCATTCACTTAAACTCCACTTTTCTCCTTTTCACTTTGTGGGGTGTGCGATAGACTTACCTCCACGTGGTGCACCCTGGGCAACGTATACTCATACGGCAAAAAAGTCTATTAATTGGCAGTTGACTTCTGACTTCAAACAACCCTCACCCCATTGTATGTCATATTCGACTACTTCCACAGTACTTACCTCACCTTTTTCCACTTTTGTGTCTGTCTCTTTAACATTTTTGAAACTCTCTTCTGTCCTCCCTCTCCCTCTCGACTTGTTTCACTTTGATGTTCCTCCTCCTCTGTGAAGCCTGAAGTCAACCTAAGGGCTAACGATAGCTTTCGCAACGCCTGCCATTTGATATAAATCTTTTCACTTTGTGCTTACGTTTCACTGGTTCCAGATTGATCAGTCCAGCCAATGACGCCATGTCCCGACTTATGAACCACTTCTCAAAAGTAGACAAGCCATGCGCTTTCGTTAGACGGCACTTAAATGCCCACCCATATCTGAAATGCCCAGTCGAGTTTCCCGCATCTTCTGACAAACGACGCTGGCAACCCTGTCTGCATTCTAGTCCATCGGCAAAGGCTTCGAAAAACACTGTGGCAGGCTGCGCCTTAAATCTTGTTAATATGTCAATACTGTTCTCATTACCCTTGTCTATTTCTCACTAACTGTAATCAACTCGCCTTGACAACTGGAACACGGCTTTGCTTGGCCATATCTTAAATTCTTTTTCCTAATTGTTGAGACACATAGTAAATAAGAGTTCTCAACTCATGTTTAGCTCAAACACAAACTCCGAGTACGCGTTTTAACATTTCGTTTTTCTCACCATTAACGCTTTAACGCCCGAATGATTTCTTTTTTTAAAAAATACACCCAACCGCACTCACGCGTGTCGGACAGCAGAGTGTTGCCAACGTGATGAGCTTTGGCTATAGACGTACTGCCCATGTTTCAAACGCCAATAGTTCCTTCTGTTACGAGTCAAGTACCAATGGAGCTTATCTTTAAAGAGGCCCGTACAGTCCTAAGGGGGTAAAAGGGTTAATGTTGAGCTACACTTGCACTTACCCGACTAATTCAATATACCCTATCTGTTCCCATTTTGTCATTTTTTTGGCACCAAAAGTCTAGAGTTTTTAGTTGAGGATGCTTCCAACCAAAATTGAAGCTAAATGTCGAAAATCACAACTCTTTTGCATTCACCCCCGTACCTCCTCAAGAAGACATCATCTATACTCTGTAAATGCACACCTCAATGTTTCTTTTAAAAATGAGTTTCAAATGGATCCCACAAACATGGTCACTGTCCCTATGTAAATTCGCTTTCATTCGCGTCTGATACTTTTTGATCAAATGAGACTTGGATAACTCGAGTTTAACAGCGATCTAAAAACCTATGGAAGTCTTAGTTGTTAGCACCGGGTGTGCGATAGACTTACCTCCACGTATACTCATACGGCAAGTCTATTAACTGGCAGTTAACTTCCCATTTCAAACTACCATCACCCCACTGTATGCCATATTCGACCCCTTCTACAGTACTCAACTTACCTTTTTTCTGCCTTTTTGTCTGTCTGTCTGTTTCTGTTACATTTGTGAATCATTATTCTGTCCCCCCCTCTCGACTTTTTGTCACTTTGATGTTCCTCCTCCTCTTCTGTTCCCCTCTCGACTTTTTGTCACTTTGATGTTCCTTCTCCCCTCTGTGAAGCCCGAAGTCTATATGGCTAATACTTCCCCTCTGTGAAGCCTGAAGTCAACTAAAGGGCTAATACTTCCCTCTGTGAAGCCCGAAGTCAGCTAAATGGCTAATGTTAACTATCAGAACGCCTGCCATTTGAAATAAATAAGTTACTAGCACAATGTCCTAAGTTGGCCACGATAACCCGTGCTGAAATTCCCTATCCCCTGCCTTGATCGTAGCGATCACTCCTTTACTTAGTCTCTTGATAATTTAATGTAATTTCCAAACTCTCATAGTTCTGCCCTCGAGGGAAAGGTTCCTCATTTCTTCGCGTTGAAAGTATTCATTTACGCGCATAATCCCACTTAATAATTAAGTTAAGGTAGTGGACAAGAAGTTAGAAATAATGAAAGCACATTTCATTTAATTAGCAACGACTCTGCACTAGTGGCTTAAAAATTACAAATAACCAGGGCGAAAAATCAGAATAGCATAATAATCCGTTTCCGACAAATTTTCATAAACTTCAAGCATATATCACAATAGTATCTCAAAACAATAAGTAGTCAGTATAAAAACGGGAGAAAGTATATACACAGAAGGGGATTTGGTTTGAATAGGAAAATGCGATTTTACCTACGCTTCGTTGAGGAATGTTTTTGAGAACGTTTTCTTGAAATGGCTGAGCCTGTCTTCTTAGCAAAAGCAGCGGAAGATGCTTGACTTCGAGTGCACGAAGGACAAAACCACTTCTCTGTTTCAGGGGCCTTATCCAGTCCTACACATTGGCTGAAAGGAATACAATGACACCGTAAGACCATTTCACAGTGACAAGTTGGAAACAAGAGAAAAATGTTAAAGAAATACTCACAAGTGGAACCAGTCGTCACAACCATCACAGCCAACCATATCCCCTCCAGGTAGGGAACAGATAGGACACAGCCACAATTTCTCGCCATTCTCAACCTGGAAGAAAGGAAGTATATATAGGCTCTAATACCGTTTCGGGCAGTAAAAAAGCGTATGCCTGCGAACTACACTTACAGCATAATAAGAGCTTCCACCAGAAGCAAGCAATGGCTGTCTCTCCACAGGCTTGTTTTCTTCAACCCGTCTCCTTTTAGCAGCCTGCCCACGCCTCTTAGAATGAGAGACACTTGGAGTAGGCATCTTATCCCCTTCTTCATCCGAACTACTATCATCTGAAGAATAGACTGTTCGTTTTCGCGATGTACTGGGGATAGGAGGCAGAGGAGTAAGTAAGTCTAACCTCGGTAAGACAGGAGGTGGAGGTTGATAGCTTTGTCCAGCATTAATAACAGAACTCTTCTTCAAATTATCTCGAGGCAATGTAGAGGTGGGCGAAAGAGGAAGTGGATCAATCTTGGGCAAGGGAAGGTCAATATGAATAGGTTTGAGCTGAGGGGGTTGTTTAGCAGTAATAGTAGTAGTAGCACTACTCTTGAACCTGGGAGGAATATCAGAGAGCATGTAGAGCGGTGGAATTGGTTGAGGAGCTTGAGAACTGGGGAATGAACCATTCTCCTCGTCGTCATCATCATAGGAACTTTGACTCCTTGAAGTGGAACTGCTGCTACTGCCCTCGTTGCTTATACTACTTCCTCGTAGCCTTTCAAGGGAAATATTTGGCCTCTGTGGCGCGGTAAAGGAGTCCTCAGTAGATATTAAACTGGTTGAAGCCTTGCCATGTGCATCCCACTTAATACGGCTGTAGAAGAAAAAAATTAATCTAAGGTCAATTATTTGATATTATTGGTGGATATTCGCTAAAAGATATTGATTACCCCACGCTCACATTGAATGCTATTAAGGCGGAAATATTATTTTAGCAGGGTAAAAAATATTTCATTAAACAATTGCCTTAAAAATTATATTTATGGTTCCTGAGCATTAAGCGTCCCCTTAAATTTATTCTATTCACCCGCTCGTGTATTCTAAAGCCACAATGTGCCTAGCCGAATTAACCTCTTACCTTGGAAAATTGGACATCAGACTTGTAGATTATATCTCCAAACCAACTATATCGTGGTAATTGTTTTCGATCTGAATCATTTATGATGAAAATTAGTAGAACTACCAATACTATCATAGGGGTATTCATAGATTCGACAAAAAACATGCACAGTTAGACAACTCCGAAGACTTATATCACCACTTTTAAGGTGGAAATATTGTGATGAAAGTCCGTTTCAATCATACAATCACTACTGCCCATTTCGACTTCTTCGGATCCCTTATCACACATTCAGCCACTGCTACCATATCAGAGTGCAGTAATATAAGGTACTACAACAAGAAACCACGAGTGTTTAATGAGTGTGGAAAATAAAAAAAAGAGGTTACAAATGAATAGGGACAGAACGGTTATTATTTTATTATTAGAGTTCATATAGACTGAATTAGAGTCAGCTCAGACACACATCAAATTGGCTCAATCGGCCATAACAGTGCTGTTCAAATAGAGCCCGCATGAGAGGGGAAGAATGCTAACTTCCCTCCTAGCAAATCAATATCTACTGAGTTTTTCAACTCGTGGACTTGAAAGCAAGACAACAGCTGAACGATCAGCAAAGTGTAAGGGAATAAAGAGCAAAACGACTGAAATGAAATTTGAGCCTAAAAATTTTAAGACTGAAATATTCTACGTCTAGGGAATTTTGTATTGAATGCTGTGTAGCGCCGGTCCAAACTGTATCTTTGAAATGACTTTTTGATTAAAACGGTAGCAACTTCTAAGCTTTAACATAGTACTCCATTGAGGCCCTTCGAAGCATTATTGCTTCCAACAAGATGCATTAGCCAATATTGTACTTCAATTTAAAACTTACAGTGACGCATTCCTATATTATATGCGAGATTATATTTATGCAACTATCTGATTAAAAGCCATCAACAAATATAAACACCATTTGCGCAATAAAACGTTCCATCGACCCTCATTAGTAATTTAGCTGTATTCTATTTTACTACTAGTTGCTTGGAAAGTAAGCTCTTCAGAACAATTTGAGTACTGAACCAGTTTAATTGGCAATTCCAGTCTCTAGAATTTCTATTTGAACCTACTGATATTGGTAGTCTGCTACAGCGAACTTTCACTTATTGAGTAGCGCTAATTTACGTTTCCCTCAACTGTACACAATTATATGTAGAGCTAGTATCGCTTCACTTACATTTTAGGGGCCTTGGGAAGAGGGGAGGGTTCGGCTTGCTGCTGCTTCTGTGGTTGAGTAGATGTAGAGAAGAAGGTCCGGGGAGGGGATTCAGGTTTAGCATCAGCTTTATTTGCGATAAATGCAGATGGAATAGCAGCGTGACGCCTCGCCGCAGTCTCCGCATCTGAACCATGACGTGAACTAAGAGGGGACGTGTCGCGACTACTGCTGGAAGAAGAGCCATCAATTCCATCACTGCTTGAAGGACTAGAGATGGTGTTTGTGAGAGCACGTTCACTTGACTTCACACTCATCGTCTCACCAACTTTTCGGATCGTTAACTTGAGCCCACCTCCACTAGTCAACATAGGGGCGGGCTGAGGGGTTGTAGATTGGGTGACTTGAGGCGTTTTCGCTTGGCCGTCACCAGACTGTTGACAAGCGAACGAGCCGGATATGGAAGGACCGTGGGAGTTCTGTATATAAACGAGAGAAGAAAAAGAAATGACTGAGATAATGGAAATATAAACCGACCCCCCCCCCCAACATTTTTGCATTGCCGTAGACAACAATGCCTAACCAGGCGATCTTTAGCCAATGTCTTGCGCTCTAGAATAGGCCAGGAATAATTTTTTTAATACATCAATAAAACTTGAAATTAGATGGATTTCATATCCTAGTTAATAAATACTAGCGTTCCATATAAAGTCTTGATCACAGAGGGGATAATATAAAGGAAATTCAGAGTAAAGCTATAACACTACCTACCAATTAAATTATGTTTTAAGTTAAGGGAATACGCAAGATTATTAAGCCAGTTCTTTGTTAAAGCAAGCGAATGCTCCAAATTATATGACTTCTTAACCCATAATAATATGACCTTAGTTTATGATATTGACCTCAATTTAATAGAAAAAAAAAGTTCACTCATTTTGATTTGAGCCAAATGGGGCAAAACTTCGAACCATAGATGGTAAAGATAAAAGGGTACAGATCGAAAAGAAAAGGACACATCAATAAATGGTAGAGAATTCGGAAATCAAAGTACTTCCATTCAAATTAACGTTTAGAAAAATTAAACTTGTCTAAAACTCAAGGGGTATGCAAGCTGTGAACTAAGGTTTTAATAACTACAAACACAAATAAATCACGCCCAACTATAACCTTATTTTCCCTTTTGTATTTTACGGAACTCGTTTTCTGTGCCTCTTATGCTAAAACTCGTACATCTTTGCACCACCATGGACAATAATGCCTAACTAGGCAATCTTCAGCCAATGTTTTGCACTCTAGAATAGGCCAGGAATTATTTTTTTTTAATACATCAGTAAAACTTGAAATTAGATGGATTTCATATCCTAGTTAATAAATAATAGCAATTTTAAGGAGCATATGGACGTTCCATATAAGGTCTTGAACAACGGGGGGAAAAGATAAAATTCAAAGTATAGCTATAACTATTGCCCAAAAAAAAAAATCGATTTTAGCATACTTGGGGGGGGGGGGGGGGGGGGGGGAGGAGGAAGCATTCTCTCCTACCACTAGACCGAACCTCTACCTACAAATTAAATTATGTTTTAAGTTAAGGGAGTAGGCAAGATTATTAAGCCATTTCTTTGTTAAAGCAAGCGAATGCTCCAAATTACATGACTTCTTAACCCATAATTATATGACCTTAGTTTGTGATATTGACCTCAATTTAAAAGAAATAAAAGTTCACTCACAAAACAATCAGAAATATTTATCAGATTTTTATGTTCTTTTCTCGAACTATAAAGTTATTAACAAGCTCCACCATGTGAATTAGACACCTTCTAAATGAATGTAGATCTTTTAAAGAAACTATCATTACCAAATTAAACCTTCAGAAATACATATTACAAATTGGAAAAAAGAGTGCTAAAAGCCTAGAAAGATAATATAACCCCCTCCCCACCCCGACCCCAAATTTTTGTGAAAATTGTTAAAACTGTACATCTTTATTAGCCATTTCGTAGCTTGGACATGATTTCGAAGCTAATTTTAGTGCTGAGGTAAATGAAATAAGACGCTAGATTAAAAAATAGCTGATAGGACCGATTGATTCCAATCACATATTATAACCAAAATCACCCCTGTAAGTAGATTTTTTGATGAGAAAACAGTAATTTCTTTGACTAAGTCGTTCTCAATTATTGGTGAAAAAAAGCAAGGAGCAATTTCATTTCTCGAGTTTTCTAGCATTACTGCTGGAGGATGTAATTTTTACTTTCAAACCATAGGCCTTCAACAATATTACTTAATATACACCACTATAAGCGCATTCACCAACAAACTACTATCAATACGATGCTCAATATATTAAAAGAGCCGATTTACAAGGCATATTGATATTAGTCTAACCAGCAAATTTGAAGTAAACTGTAGTAATAACAAAGGAAAATCAAGTAAACCAACCTCAGAAAATGATTTAACAGGAGCCACCGATGCCGTCGAATCTAATACAGTTCGTAGCACAGGAGTCTTGACATCAGATCGTCCCGAAGTTGTAGAATGCGAGGAAGACAATGTTGAAGAAGTCGAAGAGGGAGCAGTGGAGCACATTGATGACGGCTGAATTGATCGGCGATCGACAGAAATAGCAGAGGTAGTGAGAACACTGGGAACAGTGGGGATCTCATAAATTCTACTCTCCTCCTCAAATCTCATAGGTTCCGTATCAGTACTGGAAGCAAAATCATCATCACCTCCATCACCAGTAGGTTGGGATATAGGGGATGAATGGATGGCGAGAGGTTTAGGAGTCACTTCAGTCCTTCTCAAAGAAGATCCAATACTTGTATCTCGTGGTGACAAAGGACTTTCATGGAACACGGACCCACCACCACTGGATATTGACGGCCGACTTCGTCGAACTGGAGTATTCTGACGATCTGACCTGCGTGATTGTCGATCGACTGTTGAAGAGAATGAATGCTGATTAGCCATTTCGGCCATATCAGTATTAACAGTAAGAGGTTCCATTTTACCGGCAAAAAGAGATGGTTTTTCGGGAGATAGAGAAGCGGCAGGACTCCTGCTATGAAATAAAACACTCTTATTCTCCCTCAAGGGAGGAGGGGAAGAGAGACTGTCTTTAATGGACTGCGGTGGAGGTAATCTGACGGAACTAAATGGCCGCTTACGACGGGAATATATTGGTTTCCTACGATTGGGAGGCGGTCGACGATTGCTAACCGGTGGTTTCTTTTTAACTACCGTTAGCGAGGGAGTGACTGTAGTTTTTGCTTCCGCAGAAGTAGTAACGACAACTGGTGTAGCAGGAGTATTTACATTGAGATTAGAATTTTTAAGAGGGGGTTGGGAAGGAGGATGAGGAGGAGAGAGAGTCGCAGACAAAGCCTTCTCCCAAGCATCTTCTTTCTTTTTATCATTTGTTAGTCCATCAAAGTCAGACGGAATTGGAGATACTTGAAGTGGTCGACGGAAATTAGACGTAGTTGAGCGAGAAGAACGCCTCTGTCCAATTGACTTATTTGAATGAGTAACCGGTTTAACAGGAGGAGGAGGTGAGTGGGTGGTGAGGTTATGAGTAGTTGAGTTGTAGGAAACACAAGTCAGTTTATATCTACTTTTACTTGCCCAAGATGGAAGGTTTCTGCCATTCTGACGTATAGCAACAGTTGCTAAATGGCCGGAAAGGCCATCAGGTTTAGTTACTGACGATTCAGTGGACACTTTGTCGTTTAACGAAGAACTTGTTATCGATTGAGTATTTTCGTTGTTTGGATCGCCCTTAGTAGGTGGAGGATTAAGCTGAATCCTGCCTTGAAGAGGGATGAAAACTTTTGGGGGTTTGGGGAAATATGGTGAAACCTCATTAACGTATTCATGCAATGATTTTACAGACTCCCCTTGCAGGCCCAAGGCAGCAACCCCATCTACAAAACTGTAAGTCCCATCGGTAGAAAGATCAGCGATATTTTTAGACAATGATGACAAATAGCGATAAAGTACTTCTGCAAGTAATTCAATGGCTG